ATTCTCTGGAAGGTACTTAGTTTAAATTCCTTTCCTTCAAGTAGAAAGTCCTTTCCTCAAAGAACGAGGACTGGTGGTTTAAACCATCAGAACATCTGGAGAATTCTCCAGCGCCATTCTCTGGAAGGTACTTAGTTTAAATTCCTTTCCGCCAAGTAACAGGGCCATTCTCTGGAAGGTACTTAGTTTAAATTCCTTTCATCCAAGTAGAAAATTCTCTGGAAGGTACTTAGTTTAAATTCCTTTCCTTCAAGTAGAAAATCCTTTCCTCAAAGAACAAAAAGGACTGGTGGTTTAAACCATCAGAACATCTGGAGAATTCAAATGAGCCTCTCCGAAGAGTTAGGGGACTCGGGAGGGCCCGCCTGCCCCGGAATTTTCTTTTTCCGTTTAAGGGCTGGGTCTAGTGCCATCCCACAGCATGGGATAGTTTTTTGTTTTTTTTTTCCTACTGGCCCTTTGGACGCCCTGTTTTGAGCCTCCAAAATTTAGGAGAGGCTCAATCGGATTCTCAACTTGGCTGGGCCAATGTACTGGTGGTTTAACCCCCCATTATTTAGAGGTCTCCTTTTGCTGAATTGCATTCCCCCCTGGGTGCCAAAAGCAAACAAACCGGTGCATTTGCCATTTTGGCTGGCGCTGCCGGCAATTTAGCTCCAGTTATCTGTGCCCCGAAGGCCACGATGCCTGTTACACTTTTTCTCTGGGGCTGCAAACACATTGTGTGCCGAAAGAAGGGAACTGGCGAGGCCTTCCTTATGGCCGGCGGTGCCAACGATTTTGCTCTGGCAACTGAGCCCCGAACGTTGAGGCATCATCATGCAAGCCGCGCAACTTTGAAAAACTGGTTGGGAAAGGTACTGGTGGTTTGAGATGATCGGTCCAAAGAGTCGACAATTGACTGGGCTTGTTGGGAGAGCACCCTGTTGTTAGTGGCCAAGAAAGGCGTTGTTTGTGAGGATGACCTTTCCCATTCAAACCGCCAGTATCTTTCCCCGGTCGCTTGGTTTCAAAGTCGCACCGGGTAACATGCTGGCCAGTCGGGGTCGGGCCATCGTTGATAAAATCAGTCGGCGGCCCATTTCACTTATGAACTTTTTTTCCCGCCTGCCGGCAACCAATGTATGGGAGAGGGACCGGTGGTTTAAATTTGGCTATTAGGACTACAGCGGAGGCAGGACGACTATATGATTTCTGTGAGATGTACGCAGCATGCACATTGATGTGCTGGATGCTGTCTTTCCAAGGTACATCCATGGGCTCCAGCACTGAAAAGCTATTTCTCTTCTTGTTCCACCAGTATGTCTGGACTTTTGTCTTCCACTGCAGGTTTTTCTGCCCCGTGCGCCAAGTTTTGCTGAAGTGGCATGGGTGAGAAACTGGGTGTTTTCACCCGGAGCTGCCAGCCTTTTGCATCCGGTAAGGCCAAACACTGCAGGGGGAAGAATGCACATTGCAGGGTCACCCTTCTCAGATAAGAGGATTTTTGAATCACTTTCCGCACTCAGATTTGCACTGCGCACCCAAAAACAACAAACCGCTAACAGCGCACACACTTTTCCTCTTTTTACGCACTCGGATTTGCACTGCACACCAAAAAGAACAAACCGCTAACAGTGCACTTTTCCTCTTTTTACGTTGGCATCTCCAGCCATTGTGGTCTCGTAACACTCTCCATCTGAAGAAACCAGATTGTCACAATTTTGCTTCTCAAGTTTGCCTGGGTGAGATACTGGTGGTTTAAGTCACCAATGTTTTTCCGTACTATTTTATTCGGGGGCTGGTGAATGTGCTGCAAAATCTGTGCGCCGCGACTACGGGATGGAAAAGACCGGCAGGACCAGGTGAAATGGCACAATTCTCTTGCCGGGGTCGTTTTGATGAATGACAGCCATCGGCATTGAAAAAGCGAGCCTCAGTTACACTGGTGATTTGAGCTCCTGACCACCAGTGCAACCAAGCCGACTTCATATGAACGGGATTTATAAAGGCCGACCTCGGGAAGGCCAGCACATGGAAAGTGTGGGGACTCGTGGTCTAAGGGCGCACTCACTCTAGCAGTATCTCACATGTATCTGACTGCATTTGCGGCCATACCTGGATGCATCAGGCCACAATTCCATCCGGAAATACATTCAAGGAGAGTGATGTCTCTCTCACATGGAGGACCTGTGCCTCCACTCACCAGCACCCCTTCCATTAGACACATTGTTTCTTGAGCTGTCTTGGCTACTGGGTTGGTTGCAGGGGATGTGACAAATTGGGTAAGGAGAAAAAGAACGAGATTGCTGAATTTGTGAGTGGAAAAGCATCCAGCGGCCTAGCTCGGTTGGTGGGGCAGGCAAGTGGCATTCAGAAGGTCTTGGGTTCAAATCCCCGGTTGACCTTGTGTACCTTCCGGGGGCAAGCTTGGTGCCCGTCATCTAGAGATAGGTCATTGGCAGTCCCTCGGGACATCCGTTAAAACTGGAACGATACAGAGAAGATTAGCATGGCCCCTGCGCAAGGATGACACGCATAAATCGATAGGTCATTGGTACCCCCGATCATTGAGCAGATACTACCGATGTTCTTCGTACAGGGAGGGGAACTGCAGGGGAGGCACAGCGACTGGCCCATTAAAGAAGCTCGGTCATGCAGTTCGGTCAAGATGCTGCTACTGGCTGACCACTGGCCCGCATCGCCCACCTGCAGGTTGGGAGCAGCTCCCGCATCTCCCCTCCTCGAAGGCTTGAACTTGGGCTGGCTGGCTGCTATGGAATTTCCCACATAAAAATAGAAAGGGCTGAAAGGTCGTACTATCGAGATTTGACAGGTAATTGAATTGGTTGGGCTTACAAGAATTGGCCTCAAAAACAAAACAAAAGAAAGGGCAAAAGACAAAAAAAAAAGAAAAGATACAGGCTCCAGGACAGGTTTGTCCTGGGGCAAGGTCGCACATGCACAGATAAC